ATATTCAAGAAACAAACAACCCAATCCAAAAATGGTCAGAAGACCTAAACAGACATTTCTCCAAGGAAGACATACAGATGGCCAAGAGGCACATGAAAAGCTGCTCAACATCACTAATGATTAGAGAAATGCAAATCAAAACTACAATGAGGTATCACCTCACACCAGTTAGAATGAGTATCATCAGAAAATCTACAAACAGCAAATGCTGGAGAGGGTGTGGAGAAGACGGAACGCTCCTGCACTGTTGGTGGGAATGTAAACTGATACAGCCACTATGGAGGACAGTATGGAGGTTCCTCAAAAAACTAAAAAATAGAATTACCATATGACCCAGCAATCCCACTACTGGCCATATATCCTGAGAAAACCATAATTCAAAAAGACACATGCAACCCAATGTTCATTGCAGCAGTATTTACAATACCCAGGTCATGGAAGCAACCTAAATGCCCATCGACAGATGAATGGATAAAGAAGATGTGGTACATATATACAGCGGAATATTACTCAGCCATAAAAAAGAATGAAATTGAGTCATTTGTTGAGACGTGGCTGGATCTTGAGACTGTCATACAGAGTGAAGTAAGTCAGAAAGGGAAAAAGAAATATCGTATATTAACGCATGTATATGTAACCTAGAAAAATGGTACAGATGAACTGGTTTGCAGGGCGGAAATAGAGACACAGATGTAGAGAACAAACGTATGGACACCAAGGCGGGAAGCGGCGGGGGGGGGGGGGGGGGGGGGGGGGGGTGGTACGTCATTTGGGGTAAACAATGTCAAGAGCTTCCCCATCCTCAGCTGGGACCGGGACAGGCTTGGACTGGGAGCCTGGCTCCAGCCCTGACTTGCTGACGCATGAGCCCGGGCTGATCACTTCCCTGGGGCCTCAGTTCCCTCCTCTGAGAAATGGGGATAATAATAGAACCTCCTTCCTTGCCATGATGGCTTCAGGCCAAGATGGAGAGAGGAAAACTGTCTGCTCAGAGCAGGGTCTTCTCCCTACCCCCTTGCTTCCCTCTCTGCAGGCTGCCCGAGGCTGAGGGATTTCTCCCAGGCAGAGCTATCCAGAGCGAGGGGACCCAGTTCCGTATGGGGGTGAGCTCCCCGTCAGAGGGAGTATGTAAGAAGAGGCATAGTGAAGATGGAGCTGGGTGCGGAGGACCGTGGGGAGTTAATGACAGACGTTTGGAAATCTTTTTGGCCCCGAGGGCTTTGTTTAGCACCCTGGGGCTGAAATAGACCTAGCTTGACAATAGCCTCGTGGCAAAACTGTTGATGGCACAGGCTTTAGGATCAGAGGGGTCTGACAAAAATCCAACACACCTCCTTGAACCTCAGGTCCTAAACTGCAAATGGGATGCCTATCCTAGGTCAGCAGTGTGGTCCTGAACAGGGTAGGGGGTGGGGGGGTGGGGGGGTGTAGGACCGACCCTGGAGGGAGCACAGGGTGTTATTGGAGCTGTGGTCTGAGTCACCTTCCCCGTGACGCACAAGGTGTCGTCCAACAGATGACCAGGCCCTGGGAGGCAGTGAGGGGGTCAAAGGCATGGAGCCATCACCTGAACATGTGCCAGGCACCCTTGATGCTCCCCACTGAGGCCCTGGGTTCCTTGCTCCTCCAGCCATGTGTGGACAGCACTTGACAGCTGGCAAAGCATTTGCATCCCTTTGATTTCAGAGACCCCCATTTTTTTTTTTTTTTCCTGTACGCGTGCCTCTCACTGTTGTGGCCTCTCCCGTTGCGGAGCACAGGCTCCGGACGTGCAGGCTCAGCGGCCATGGCTCACGGGCCCAGCCGCTCCGCGGCATGTGGGATCCTCCCGGACCGGGGCACGAACCCGCGTCCCCTGCATCGGCAGGCGGACTCTCAACCACTGCGCCACCAGGGAAGCCCAGAGACCCCCATTTTTATAGAAGTAGAAAGTGCGGCTCAGAAGGGTGGAGTGGGAGGCCCAGGGTCACTCTAGGACACTGCTCTCCCTCTCCCCCTTCCTCGGCTCCGTTCACTTCTACCACCCTAGTCCGTCCACAGGGCCTTTGCCTTGGCTGTTCTTGCCATCTGGAGCACTGTTCCCCTTGCCTTCCCCCAGGCCAGCTCTTGTCTAGCCTCCAGCTCAAAGGTCCCTTCCTCATCCAGGACCTCCCTTTCCTGTCTGGAGTCTGATCGCCTAGGTTCATGTCCCAGCTCTGGCTGTGTTACCTGGGGCACGATGCACACCCTCTCTGTGCCTCATTTGCTTCATCCAGAAAGTGGGGATAACAGTAGCTCACCCACGGATTAGGATTCTGAGGATTAAATGAGTTAATTGGGCAGAGTGCTTAGGACTGTGCCAAGATCACAGTAAGCATCCAGTCGTGGTAGGTTCTTGGTCACTCTTCTTACCCTGCCTCCTTCATTGTCTCTTTGGCCCACTACTCGGGAGTTTCATGAATGGAACTGTGTGTGTCTTGGTCACTGCTGTGTCCCCTGGGTCCAGCATAGTGCCTGGTATACAGCAAGTGCTCGATTAAGGAAGCAACAAGTGTGATATGAGCCTCCCTCCACCCCTAGTCCTGTACCCAGCCTCATCCAAAGCCTGAGACTGAACTGTCTCAGCCTATCCAGAGCCTCACCTGGCTGATGCTAAGACACTGCTGGCAGGGGGTCGCTGGGACTCCAGGATCCTCCTCTTGAATTCCTCCAGCCCAGCTGGGTCTGCCGAGAGAGGGAGGGGTCAGCCCCGATCTAATGCCTTAGTAACCCCCGCCTCCAGGGTCAGGGGATGGGCTGGCAACCCAGGATACAAGGTGGAATCCGCCCCCCTTTCCTGGCTCTGCCCTCTGTCACTCACCGATGGGCGGGGGGTTGGGGGCGGGGCCTGCAGGTCTTGGCACTGGTATTGGCTGCGACTGTGGGAAGAAGAGTGAAGGGAGGTTGGTGGAGGCCAGGGATCCCAAACACACGTCCCAGGGAGTTTCCTGCCTCTCCACAGCCTCGGAGACCTGAGTTCCTTCCAGGGCAGAAAAAACAGACGGATACCCGTGGAGAAGAACGTGATGATGGATATATAATCACCTGTAGACACCTGCCTTCAAATGATTGGGGACTGCAGGGACCGGCTTCCCTTGGCAGCCCCGGAGACCCCACTCGGCAGGGGTCCTGCCACGGTCTCCATTACAGCCTTGGTGCCAGCCTGACTCCAATCCAAGACCCCATTTGAGTCCATCCAGCCAACCCAGCCCCGCTCCAGACTGAAGCTGACCCACTCTGTAAACCAACTGGACCTCGATCCTCAATGCCATCCCTTGAAGGACCCCGAGAGGATCTTTCCAAACCTGAAATCCAAAACCAGTTCTGAACTCAGTCACCTAAACCTGAAAACAGAACCTCCCTTAGAATCAAAGCCTGACCATAACCCATCCCCTAGACCCAGCCGCTATGAAAAATCTACCCCCCCACCCCCATTCCCTCAGCCCCAGCCCTGCACTCCACTACAACCACCCATAAATACCTTCCCAATACCACACTCAACCCCAGCTCAACCTCAGACCTCAGCCTCTACCTGAGTTAGAACCCCAGCCCAGCCTCAGCCCAAGATCAACATCCACCCGGCTTCTATTCTAGATCCAGTCTTGACCCGCACTCGAAGCCCAGGCTCACCTAATCCTTCACGTCAAATATATCCTAACACCAGTCACCCTAAATGCAACCCAGTGTCAACTCGTAGCCCATGGTCAATGCCAATTCCAATCTTAATGCCCATGAAGTTCTGAATCCGCCCTTGGCCCCAAACTTCTAATTGTCTCTAGGCCCACCAACCACCTGCACCCGCCTGAGCTCCAACTCCAGCCTCAACTTAATGCAATCCCAAACCCACTGAAACCCTAGATTCACTCTTCACCAAATCCTTGACCCAAGAGCCACCCTGCATGTGACCCCTGACCCAACTTTTAACCTTTCCTCACAATCCAAACTCCAAACTCAACCTAATTCTAAGACTAATGAAATCTTACATGGAACCCTAACCTTAGCCCAGATCAACTCCAGACACAGGAGTCACCAAGAACCCACCTTGACCCAACTCTAACCACAAATTTAGAGTCCACATGAAGCCTTTCTCTAGACCTGCCTTAACCCTCAGCCTAACCCCAGTATCACTTCCAGTCCTTAACCTGGTGCCCCCTGATCCTTCAACTGAACTCAAACCCATCCCAACCCTGACACCAACACTGGATGAGTCCCTAATCCTAACCTTAAGCCAATTTTGAGGCCCACCTGCCTTCCTAAACTCAACCCCAATCCTTAACCCTTTCTTAATGTTATTCCCAATCCAAACACCACCCCAAACCTAATACCAATAAAATCCTTATGTTAATACATAACCATAATCCTAAAGCCAATTCTAGACTCACAGTCACCCATGTCTGATCTCAGCCTCAAGCCTAAATCCTCAGTGCCTCAGCTCACCCCAATCCCAAAGCAACCACAACTCTCGATTTGCCCCTCACTCAGCCACCCGACCTCCAACTCCAGTCTTAACCCGACACCTTTCCTCAATGCTGATCCCCATTCCAAGCTCTGCCTCAATCCTAACATCAATGAAACCAGTGAAATTCTCAAGTCTAAGTAACCCAACCTAGACTGGGAAGCCAACCTCCACACCAAGATTAAAAAAAAAAAAAAAGTTCAAACCCAGCTTCAATATCACCGTCAGCTTGGCCCCCGGACCCACCCCCAACGCAACCTGAAACCAGGGACCTCTGGCCCACCTTCGCCTTGATGCAGGTGTCCAGGGCCGAGCTGCTGACAGCCAGCTGCATCTTGAGCTGCTCAGCCTCCCGTCTCTCCTCCTCCAACTCCTTGGCCAGGTTGTCACGCTCCTTCCGCAGCACTGCTTTCTCTTCCAGGGCCAGCTGGGTCTGCCGGGCACATTCAGCCTGGAGCTTGACCTCCCGGGCCTGGGCCTCCTTCTCTGCCTTCTCCTTGGCCTCCTGACTGGCGCGCAGACCCTGTTCGGCCTCCAGTTTCTGGCGCTGGAGGTCCGAGTTCTCACGGGTCACACGCTCGATGCCAGCCCGCAAGCTCCGGGCCAGCTCCTCCACCTTGGAGCTCATGAGGGTGGGCATGTGGTCGCAGGTTCTCCGGATGGAGGCCACTTCCGAGCCAATGGGATGGAACATATCGTAGCCCAGTCTGTCAAGGGAGCGCGGGATGATGGAGTCCCTCCAGAGGTTGCGCAGCTCGATCTCAAACTTGTCCTTGTCCAGCGGGAGGCAGACGGCCTGCACCTTCTGCAGACGGTCCTCGGCCAGCTGTCGCTCCTGCCGCTGCTGCTCCTGGGCTTTGCTGCACTTGGCCAGCTGTTCCTCCAACACTCGCTTGCCTAACGCCAGACTGTCCTTGTCTTTGATACATACCACCTTCTCCTTTGCCAGCTCCACCTCCAGTGTCTTGGCTTTCTGGTTCAGTGTGAGGGCCAAAGCTAAGGGTACAGGACCATAAGAGTCAGGAAGGTTGGGGGCTGCCAAGAGACTGGGTGGGGAGTCAGCTACCCTGCTCTCCACTGTCCGTAATTGTAACCCTAACCCTAACCCACTCACCATCGCAGCTCTTGTTACTTCCCTTGAGCTGTTCTTGGCATTGTTTCTCACTCAAGATGATGGCAGCCATGTATCGCTGGTTGTTCATGTAGATCACCTGTCCGGATGAGACACAGGACAGAGCTCAGTGTCCGGCTCCTGTGGGACCCCCTGCCCCCGGCGCTGCCCAGATTCTCAGGGCTGGGGCCTCAGATCCAGCACCCAGGTGGTCTGTGTTGGCATCGTTAACAAGGGCATGGCTTCTCTACAGGGGATGCTGGTCTGATCTTCAAAAGTTGTTATGATTATCGACAGTGGAATACTACTTAGCTATAAAAAAGAATGAAATTTTGCCACTTGCAGCCACATGGATGGACTTGGAGGGCATTATGCTCAGTGAAATAAGTTAGACAGAGAAAGACAAATATTGTATGATATCACTTATATGTGGAATCTAAAAAATACAACAAACTAGTGAATATAACAAAACAGAAGCAGACTCACAGATAAAGAACAAACTAGTGGTTACCAGTGGGGAGAGGGAAGAGGGGAGGGGGAATATAGGGGTAGGAAATTTTAAAAAGGGTATTATGGGATTGTATGAAATCATGTGTGTGAAACTTTTGAAAACTGTAAAGCACTATAGAATTTAAAGGATCTTTCATTCATTCAATTAAAAAAAAGGTTAAAAGAAACCCGACCTGGACTTCCCTGATGGTGCAATGGTTAAGAATCTTCCTGCCAATGCAGGGGACATGGGTTCGATTCCTGCTCTGGGAAGATCCCACATGCCGTGGAGCAACTAAGCCTGTGTGCCACAACTACTGAGCCTGTGCTCTAGAGCCCGAGAGCCACAACTACTGAGCCCACGTGCCACAACTACTGAAGCCCGTGCGCCTAGAGCCCGTGCTCCACGACAAGAGAAGCCACCGCAATAAGAAGTCCGCACACTGCAACGAAGAGTAGCCCCCGCTGACCGCAACTAGAGAAAAGCCCGTGCGCAGCAATGAAGACCCAACGCAGCCAAATTAAATTAATTAATTAATTAAAAAAAAACCCACCTCTTTCCC